ACACCCCGTTCGGGAGATATCGTTTCACCCGGCTCCCCTTTGGCCTCGTTGTATCGCAAGATGTGTTCCAGAAACACTTAGATTCAGCACTAGAGGGCCTGAAAAGAGTCACCGGTATTGCAGACGATACATTCATATACGAAGCTACAGAGGAAGAGCAGGATGCAAACATTGTCAACCTCATGATCAGATCCAGGAAAAGGGACTCAAATTCAACAAAGACAAAGTACGGTTCAAATGTCAGGAAGTTAGCTTCTTTGGCCACAAGTAGACCCGGGATGGAATTAAACCAGATGACAGTAAGATATCTGCAATCCAGAAGATGACTCCACCTGAGAACCGCAAAGACCTCCAAAGCTTCTTTGGCCTTCTAAACTACTTCACAAGATACTCAGGGCGATTGGCTAGCCTCACAGCACCACCGTGAGAACTCACCGGGAAGGACATAGCCTATGTATGTATTGGGACCCGAACACGATCATTCATTCAACCAGATCAAGCAAGAAATCAAATCAATGGGAGTTCTCAGATACTTTGATCCAAAAGTCGAGTCTGTCATTCAAACTGACGCTTCCCAGAAAGGACTAGGTGATGTCCTTTTGCAACAAGGGCAACCTGTATGCTATGCCTCCAAAGCACTAACAGATACAGAAAGAAACTACAGCAACATCGAGAGAGAAACACTTGGTGTAGTAGGGGGCCTAGAGAGGTTTAATTACTACATTTTTGGGAAGCACGGTGCAGTAAACACTGATCGTAAACCTCTTGAGTCGATTTTCAAGAAGCGATTGTCCAGTTGCCCACCTAGATTGCAGAGATTCTTGATGAGATCCCAAAAATACGACGTCACTGTCAACTATGTAAAAGGTCCCGATGTACTGATAGCCGACGCTCTCTCAAGAGTCAGCCCCCAGCCTGCCCCTAGCAACAGTTAACTTTCAGAGACATGTGTCCACCACATCACACAGCACCTCCCCGAAATTCCAAGAAAGCTACAACAGATCCGCGAGGAAACAGGAAGGAATCCTACATTGTCTTTGCTAAAAGAAGTAGTCTTTGGAGGATGGTCACAGAAAAGAGAGGAGTGCCCCCAACCGCTACAACGTTATTGGCCGGGAATTTCAGAGAAGAGCTGAACATCGAGGATGGCTTAGTAAAAAAAGGAGACTGCATCGTGATACCTCCTGCTCTCAGACCTGAAGTCTTGAACATCACACACCAAGGCCACCTAGGGCAGGAGAAATGCCTTTTGCGAGCACGTACATCTGTCTTCTGGCTTGGAATTACAAAGGAAATCATCAACCAAGTTAACCAGTGCGGACCAAAAGAAATGCCAAAAAAAGCAGAGAAAGAGCCAATACTACAATCAGAACCGCCACACCGACCATGGGAAAGACTCAGTTCGGACTTGTTTGAATTTAAAGGCCACCAACACCTCCTACTAACAGATCAATACAGCAGATTCCCTATCATCAGGAGACTAACAAGCACCACGTCAAATTACCAAATGTCAAGTGTCGTCAACATTTAATTAAACATGGTTCCCTGAAATCGTATGAAAAGTTTGAAATGTGCCTCATTTGTGGTGCAGGTACGAATATATCGATCGTGATCACTTATGAAACCCCGAGGGTGAGACTCGATGAATTCAACAGAAAATGTCTTAGCAGGTTACAGAAATTGTTTTCTGAATTGTTAACAAAATCTTCCCGAAATGTGGATTATTTTGTGGCGCAGTCACACAAATTTATTGATCACAGTATTAGCCATGAAATTTCGAGAGTGTAACTTAATGAACTCAACAGACCAAATCCACGCCGGATACAGAAACGGATTCATGGACTGTTAACATGATAAACAGATTAAGTAAAAAAAAGTTGTCCAATTCGAAAACTGTAAATAACAACATGTTTATACTCTAACTTTGTGGCCACCAGCTTGTGAGCATAATCCTTAGACTCCGTTTCAATACGCGAACACAGCTCGGACCTTTCTAATAAACTGCGATGACTGTCAATTACAGAGACTGATTCTCCAGTTTTCAGCTTGAAGAAAAAGATTAATGTATCGCAAGCACGTTCATCAAAACCCGAGCATCAATAAAGATGATGGGCGAAGTGAAAATCGCACCATGTTTTGCGAGGCGAACCGTTTCCTGCAGTTCGAACGAATTGAGTAGAAAGCTCGAAAACATAGGACCACGACTAAACAATGCTGTTCACTCCTTCGCAGTGGAAATAATTCCACGAAACCAGCGAGTTTGTTTCTATCAAACCTTTGACAGGTTTTCACATGACAATACTGTCAAAATAAAATTATGCGACAAGCTTACTGTTAAGTATGAACTTCGGTGACTCAATCACATTATTTTACATTTTAATTTTCGGAAAGGCCATTGATTCAAATCCTAGGGTAAAATCACGCACCTTCGACAAAGGAGCGATCTTTTAAATGAATAACAAATAAACCCAGCGGTAATTAACTGAAGAGTGAATGATAGAGGCTTTCTTAATTTCGCCGCCGGCTATGATTTGAAAACTTTCCAAGAACTGAAATGCTTGTCCAGATTTCACCAAAAAATTCTTCGTAAGGTAACCTCTTTTCTCTTAACACCACGACTGAATTAAACATTCCAAACGAAAGGAAAATAAATAATTTGGCGAATAGGAACACGTTTGAAACGTTGTTTGAGGGATGAACCGGTGCGAAGGTTTCTAAACGACCAATTCCAAATAATTTTACTGCAACTTCGCTGCGCGCACTGCGAACTCCGCTAATAAAGTTGCTCTCAGCTGCGCTTCTTTCGTGCTCCCCACACATCCCTCGTGTATCTATAACTCGACATATACGTCACTGAGCATGAACTAGTTCTTAAAAAATATCTTATGTTTAGCTACGAAATGAGAGATTTCTTTGTCCCTAAAATGAATTAAGTGAAACAGAACTACACGTATATGTAAGCCTTCTGTGTTAGTGAGGCAACAGCCCTTTTAACTTTTTTTTTGGCGATTAAACAGAAGGGATGACTTAGAGAGACTAGCAAAGAAACGATCAGAGATGGAAAAAGAGCTGACTATTCTAACCGAAGAAACAAACCGGAAAACCAAAAGGTAAACAGAGCTTTGATTTACACGCATTTTAGATTCAGTGCGAATTTTCATGTACCGAGGCGAAGGGTTGGGAATGGTTGTTCTACTTACGTTAAAAATACGAGCGAGTGTTGTGATATGTGTTTAAGGAGACACTAGAAATAATTAGAGAAAGATCGAGTTTGGTGAGTATGCATAATTCTACCACTCTGCCGCTAGCTGAAAAACCAAGAACAGCTCTTGAATTGGTTGCTTTACCCTTGAAGGATTTGAAATCGGTTATATACTAGTTCCGTTCGGCAAGTTAGACGGTTACTCTCTTTCCATTTCCACTTCGCATTCATAGGCTTCCTGTCATCTTAGTTTTTCTCCTTTTCACTGCTTACAAATTATTTTACAACACTCTTCCTAATAAAAGGACAAAAAGGAAAAGCAAAGTTTCACAGGAAAGCGGCGGTGAACTTTTCAAAAATGATGAATCCCTGGAGATAGTAAGGTCTTGAAACTTCTATTTTGTTGGTTTTCCGAGAACGTTTGAACGTTGACCCTACCTATTGCGATTGTTATGAACAGTGAAACTGACGACAATGAAAATGACAATATATATGCTGATCCTATCATTATCATCACTATTATTACTGTATTGTAATTATCATTATCATCATTGTTATCATTACTTACTTCGTCACTATTTTTTCTTTGAATTATAAAATAACAAAAGAGAACAATTGCTGGTATTCTTTACTGACAGAGTAACAGAATTAGACCAAACTATCAAAGAGATGACCTCGGCAATTGATGCCTTGAAAAGCGAGAACAGCGCATTGATGTCCACGAGAGACAGGTGTCAGTTAACTGATCTGAAAGTAAATTGTAAATCAGCAGGGTTTACGATGTTATTTGAAAATCATTCCAAGTTGTTAACTTTAAACCGTAAAAGGCAGTGATAACTTGTGAAATTTGAAAAAGATTAGATCCAACTTGATCCTTCCTCTTCAATACCATGGGAGGAGAATTCTTTATGGTCGGTTATGGGTAAAGAGTTCAAGGAAGTTGAAGTCCTGCTACCTTTTGAATGGGAAAGGGCGTTTGCGTTTTTCGCACCCTTGATCTAATTGCTGTCTTTCTTGTACTATCTGTTATTTTTACACGATTTCGAACAGTGTCAATGGCGAAGAAATTGGCTTCAAAATAATGCTCGAAGGTCCTTTTAATGGCCAATCGACAGATGAGGGGCAGAATCAGTTTCTGTCAACCAAACAATTCCTTGACTACATTCGAGGCCATAAGTAACACGTCAGGGTTTTCTAACATTTGTAGATTTTCATGTAGAGATAAATCTTTTGTATTTTATGTCTTCTAAGGAGGTCAGCAGAGAGAGAATTGAAGAAAAAGGACAACGCAATGGAAGAAAATAAAAAGCAGTTAAAACTGTTGGAAGAGGGGTGAGAAGACCCACAAAAATCAATTAATCGTCACTCTTCAGACTTAGAAAGTCGCCCTTGAAATGGTTATGTTTAGTGCTCCAGCTAATCAGTACCCCTAAGACTCAAAAATTGCTTCTTGTAGAGCTCTATGAATAAGAGTACATGGTCCCCTATTAAACCGAAAGAGTTGGGTCATATAGGCGTGTCTGTAGTTTACGCTTCCATGTTAGTGGTTCGTAGATAGCCCCAGGTATCTGCCCATGCAAGCTAAATAAGAAAAAAAATGTTTTTTTTTTTAACTCTCTGTCTCCACTGAGACACTTTTGGAGCTTCAGAGGATACTCTAAATTAAAAAAAGTGTACATCAAAGCTGTCTAAGGAACGAGCACTTTGTCTCTTAATCTATTACTTTTGGTGCGTAAAAGCCTCTTTCCTTCTTTAGAAATTCAAAACTGAAAGAAGAATTGAAGGAGAGGGAAAAAGAGAGAAAGAAAAAAATTAAGGAGCAAGAAGAAAAGTAAGTTTCTAGTTTGTATGATTTAAAAGTTTTAGTTCTTTCTGAGGACAAAATACTAATGTTGCGCATTTCACCATATTTTCATGACGTCTGACTGCTATGAATTTCGTTAAAAACAACACGGGAGCAGCGAAACTACTCTTAATGGTCTTGCTCCAAAGGTTATCATTCTGAAGGGCTGTGAGGCTTCTCCAACTTTGCGGCGAAATAATTTCCCGGTGGTGTAAATTGGATCGTAGATTAACTTATATGCATCTGACCGATAAACTTATAGCTACAGAACAAAAGATTATATTCTCTTGCTACTGAATCATTCGAATCAGAAAAGGTGACGTAGTAATGATTATAACTTGAAAAATCTTGTTCTTACATGACCTGAATACTGCATACTTTCTAAGGAAATTACTTCTACGGAGTTTGCGATCAAAAAGTTGCGATCTGAAACGGAAGTAAATCCATCGTGAAACAAAAGATGATACCCCATTTATGTTTTTTTTGATGAGTATCCATAACCTTTGTTGAGATATTAGAGTAGCACTTTGCTCGTGATGTCCTGATTGACTTCAACCAGTTCCACAACGTTTCCACGAAAAGACATAAATGTCCTTCACGTTTAGCATTTTACTTTAGCTTTTGGCTGTTACATGTTAGGCCTACTATGGGGCCTTGAGTCGCCGTAACTTTGGACGACTTTGAGCGATTTAAGGCGACTTAAAGAGGCTCTCTCTAAATACCTTATTTCCACCCGGTCAATTTCGCGTCAAATATAATTTTGCCTGAGACTCTGTAAACAGAAAGACTTTACTTAGGAAAGAACTGAATTAGATTGGGTTTGATTCGAAATAATTTTCTGACTGTATTAAGGGCCATAATTATTTCCCAGTCCGTATGGACCGTCGCAACGTCTCGAAAATTGAAAAATAGGCCTATTTTGTAACATTGTAAAATATTCGATTCGCATGGTTAAGCCACAGAATTTATATCAGATTGCTTAAAAACCTTTCTAGTTTTCCAAGAAAGTTAGAATTTACCCTTGCAATGTATTTGAAAAGGCGAATTTTAGCATATTCTGACCACTATAAATCGCCATTGGCCGATGGCAGCACATAACTTTGATTTAGACGTTAAGTTTTGGGATTTTGGGACCTTTTTTCAGGTCTGATTTTCGCTATTGCTTAAATAGCGCTATCTACTGCGAGGATCGTGCACCATATTTATCTAATACCGCAGTTCAAAATTTATGAACTTCATATATTTCATTGTATCTGATTTATCACTTTCACGGGTTTATTACGAATCAACTTAACGGCCTGCTCCCAGTTGGCTTGTTAGCTCAATTGGTAGAGCGCTGCACTAGTATCGCAGAGGTCAGTGGTTCGAATCCCGTACAGGCCTGATTTTTTTCAGGTCTGATTTTCGCTATTGCTTAAATAGCGCTATCTACTGCGAGGATCGTGCATCATATGTATCTAATACCGCAGTNCAGTACAAAATATATGAACTTCATATATTTCATTGTATCTGATTTATCACTTTCACGGGTTTATTACGAATCAACTTAACGGCCTGCTCCCAGTTGGCTTGTTAGCTCAATTGGTAGAGCGCTGCACTAGTATCGCAGAGGTCAGTGGTTCGAATCCCGTACAGGCCTGATTTTTTTCAGGTCTGATTTTCGCTATTGCTTAAATAGCGCTATCTACTGCGAGGATCGTGCATCATACGTATCTAATACCGCAGTTCAAAATATATGAACTTCATATATTTCATTGTATCTCATTTATCACTTTCACGGGTTTATTACGAATCAACTTGCCTGCTCCCAGTTGGCTTGTTAGCTCAATTGGTAGAGCGCTGCACTAGTATCGCAGAGCTCAGTGGCTCGAATCCCGTACAGGCCTGATTTTTTTCAGGTCTGAATTTAGCTATTGCTTAAATAGCGCTATCTACTGCGAGGATCGTGCACTATATGCATCAGCAATGCTGCACGAAATGATATAGTGTGTGGCCACGCCGAGGAAAACAATTTTGCTTACATGCAATATTTCAATTGAACATTTGTCCTTAAAAGTTCTCTACGTGTCAGGGCATATGATGGACCGCTTTATTCGTAGGATCAGGTAGCGTTATATCACCTATAAGGTTTGTCTTCTCGCTGGTTACTTTCTTCGGGACGTTGCCCTTACAACAACGTCATGTTCTCCGCTTGTTTGATCTTGTGCAGCTTCTAACAAGATACATAGGTTACTGAAAAGCACGAAATACAACAATAATGCAAAATGATAATAAGCAGAGTAATAGGTATCGATAACAAATAAAAATCGTTACAATATGATCACGTGACCCCAGGGTACTCTCTTAAATTTCGGATAGAGGTGTGCTGCAAAGGTTGTTAAACTTTGAATCTATTTAGGGATAAAGGGCGAAAATCGATGCCTGCTCATTTAGACTGTTTCATATATTTGTCAGACGTAATCGTTACTAGTATGTATATGTATGTTTGTTTACTACTCGCACGTTCGTGATATGTGATGCATTCTCCATGTTCGTCAGTTACTTGCAGCCACTTTTCATGCTGTAAGGATCTTGATTATCTGTGAGATTTTACGGCCTTTATGCAGCGGGTACTGGCAAGTGCAACGTGGTCGCCATTTTTTACCCATGTTTCCTCTATGCTTTTCGCAGATCCAAAGTTCTTCAAGTTGATCAGGGGAAAGGTCGTGTGGCAACCCTGACCTGTTAACGATAAGCTCATATTCTTGTACCTTTCCTCTAAGCTGACCTAAGTGACATGCTAGTAGATGATCATTGATGTCACCTCTACATTCTGAAAGCTCTACTAACCTCGCTGAAGGCGCACTACAGACTGAAGCCTTTCTGGTTTCGAAAAAGCACTTGCATGCCATAGTACACTTGCAGGCCTTCTAGAAAAAAAAGGGCCAGCGGGTTCACCCGCAATGGTTAATGCTGACCACTGTGAAAACAGCACCACTGCTGTGCGCGATAGTGCAATCTTTCAGCTTTAAATTCCAAATTTTTGCCATCAAACTTCGACACATCGACTTGTAGAGTTCTTTGACTGATTCTTGACGAGAATGCAGCTGCAATCCAAAGTTTCAACAGGACATTAAGCGCGAAACATGGCTTTAGTTTTCGAGTTTAGTTCGCAACAACGAGTTAGAGAAGAGTGTCGATAGATGCCGACCGCTGAAGTTTGGAGTTATTTGCTTGAGTTATCGTTAATTTCACCAGTTTGTGGAGCGAGGAACATCAGAAATTTCACATAAACCCAAGATGCACCAAAGGTAAGCTGTATTTATGACGAAATCTGTCCTAGTGGTTCGATTTTGGTTTAAGTGAAAAAATCGCCAATGCTCGTACATGTACTGATTCAAGCGGTCATAACTTTTGAAAAATCGAAAACGTATGGGGGTTTTTGCATGTTTTTGCCTACTAAGGTCTAAACTTAGCGGCTTTGTAGGATAGAGTTGTCAACCAGGTCCAAAATCCCAAAACTTAACGTCTAAATCAAAGTTATTTACGGCCATCGGCCGATGGCGATTTATAGTGGTCAGAATATGCTAAAATTCGCCTTTTCAAATATATTGAGAGAGGAAATTCTAACTTTCTTGGCAAACTAGAAAGGTTTGTAAGCAATCTGATATAAATTCTGTGGCTTAACCATGCGAATCGAATATTTTACAATCATGTTACCAAATATGCCTATTTTTCAATTTTCGAGACGTTATGACCGTCCCTACGGACTGGGAAATAATTTTGGCCCCTAATGCAATCAGAAAATTATTTCGAATCAAACCTAATCTAATTCAGTTCTTTCCTAAGTAAAGTCTTTCTGTTAACAGAGTCTCAGGCAAAATTATATTTGACGCGAAATTGACCGGGTGGAAATAAGAGAGACAGCCTCTTAAGGACTTAAGCAAAATTGGGAGTGAAAACATTGCGACTTTAGGCAATTTAAGGTGATTTAAGGCGACTTAAGGCGATTCAAGCGATTTTATTTGACTGAAGTGATAAAATCAAAGTTAGCAACATTCTCGCCACAAACCTTAAAAATATTTACAGAATCCCTTGCAATAAATTAAAGACAATAGTCATTTTGGTTACTTTTGTATGCTCACAAGTCACCATAGTCTAACATATCCAGATTTCAAATCAATTTAGCTAAAAATAATTAGACAGAATTACCACAAAATTGGTAAATTGGTAAACTTTTATTTGATAAGTAGGTTGAGATTGTTTGGCAGCCGAAGGGCTGATGTGGACCTAACTTTACACAATCAAAATTTGACAAACACAAAGGATATATCGTTGTTGTTTGCGTCTCTGAGGAGGCCAATGTGTTTACTCTTAGATTTACCAGTGGCTTCTTTTACAGTTTTCCAAAATGATCTAGAATCGTTAGTTTCTTCAAATCTACTCCTCCAATATTGAGCGGAATTTATCAAAGAATAATGAAGCGTCAGGGGGTCTGTAAACACAGAAATTTTGAACATATTTCACAAAAGGCTTTGGATTTCTGGTCTTTAACTTGTAAACAACATAGATGAACTTATGGTCAGCAATCCAGTAATTAATCACATCAGACTTGAAACCTTAGAGACGTTATTGGTCAGAATTAGGTCTATCAAAGTGTTAGAATGCTCCGAAGTTCGTTTAGGCGCCTTAACAATGTTGCGAAAGTTGAAGGATTGAAAGATACGTTTCAATTTATTACCATTACCAGTACGAGAGAGCATGTTAGAGTTGAAGTCACCGACGATAACAACGTTTCTGCGTGTCATCCAAACTTTACCCAAGATTCGGTGGAATTTATCAAAGAATAATGAAGCGTTAGGGGTTCTGTAAACACAGCCGATGAGTAACCTTTGCGAGTGGGATAACAAATCAATACAGATGGTTCCAGTGTCTTCGTCCTCGTATTTGGATAAACGAGTGCAATCTAGAATAGTTTTAAAATAAATGGCGACTCTGCCTCCTCCTTTGTGTGTTATATCTTTTCTTAGAATCTGGTAACCATCAATATTTACCTCGTCATTATGTATATCCGGTGTCAGATGCGTTTCGGATATGGTTAAAATATCCGGGTTGGTGTGTTCAATGAGTATTTTTACCTCAGCGAGGTTCTTTCGAAGGTCGCGTACGTTCGAATGACCGATGGATATCCCATGTTTACCTTTGTCTCTCACCATGTGAAGTGTATCGAACAGAGAACAATTAGGTCCTAGGTCCCACACAACTGCAGATACACAAGGTTGAAAGCTGCGTCGGAGTTGATGTAGTAATTGACTCTCGACTTCCTAAATTTGCGTCGTGATTTGGACACTATTCCAGGATGGCGGAGCTCAACTCGATACGACATACGCAACAAATACTGGGAAAACCAGGGTTCCTGAAGAATTTCCCTTTCCTCTTTAACATAGAATAAACATGACTCGCAATATGCATAATTTGGCTTTCAAAGTGCCAGGGCGAGCAAGAGGAAGCCCAAGAAAGGCCAAAAATTGACAGAACCAAAGATTTTGCGACTTCCCGCCATGACAAGGCCTGGTTACATGTCTAGCTTAGGCAGGAGACAACAAATTTTACTGCCTCAGTTAAATTATACAGTCAAAACTAGTGAAGAAATAGCCAGAAAAACATTATGGGTTATATGCCCAACATCAAACAAACCTATCAAAAATATACACATTTTGAGAAAAGAGACACAATTAACATAAAACCATCAATAAATTTTCCGCATAATTAAAAATAACTTGATTATTTTAATATTTCAGAAAGCTTCACAAATTATAAAAATTGTTATCTTGGTAAACTCCTCTCCCATATTTTTGCTACTTGCACTGTCAATTTTGGCATGAAAGTTTGGCAACTCACATGGCTTTCCAGCAGCATCCAAAATTGCTCCGTCCTTTTCAGGTACACAACCAATTTGTTGCCTCCTGCCTTAGTTAGACAAAATACTCCAATACCATATTGAGAACCATATGCTAAGGATCCTTCGTAAAAATACTTCCTATCCAGTCTCTCCAACTACTTTTCTGGCCGCAGAAAACTTAGACGTCCCAGTTATAGGGAATCTAATCTTTTTGGAAGATCTTTCTCCACTGTTGATCGGATCAGCGGGACCTTCCAAGCATTCATTTTTTTCTACCCTGCAGTGTTTCAATTAAAAAAATAGACAAGCTTTATTTTTAGCCTGGTGGCAGAATTACAGGTCTAAAGCATTTATCGTTACCTTAAACTGTTCAGAAACTAACGAGTCACGACGAAATTCTCCAAGCTGATAACTGGCTCTATAGTCTCCGCCAATTTAATTCTCCAAGCAACCTCTCCGCTGCTAACTAGTTTCCATGCTTCAAAGTTAGGAGCGGGACAACATTGGAGGGTTTCTCTCGCCAAGTAAACCCATAATATCTGCTATTACCGAAAAATTTCCTTTACTTTACCTCGAGTTGTGTCACTGGTACGATTTTTTCCTTTCCGCAATGTAAGCAGGTAACGTGATCAAGTATAACTGGCGGCCATGTTTGCTGTAATAGGCTTTTCTCGGCTTAAACGTGGTTATTGTATGTTGATCATCAAACTGACAAAGATGAAATGTACCAAAAGAGGCTATCAAAGCCTCAAGATAGATAAATATTTACGCCTTTAGTAGGTTTCGTAGAGCTACAAAGTTCAAATCTTTTCAGTTGGTCAAATACCATGGTGGAAATAGCTAGTACAGATCAATGGGTTTATGCTGGAGAAATGGCCCACTTTTGTCACTCTTTTACTCTAGCTGGGTAAGTTAAGTGGATAAAATTTAGCTTCAATTAAGTTCAGTTGACTTTTGATAATGTTATTTTTACTGCTCAAGGTATAAGTGTGGCAAGAATTAAGCCTTTCTCCAGAATACCTATCTATCGTTTTATCTTGATTCGATATCTATTATATCCTGATGATAATACAGAGTGTGTCAACCCTTTTATCAACTTTTTCATCATGAAATACGAGAGAAATTTTGTTGAAACAGATGGCTGTTTGAGTAAGAAAATGGAAGAGTATACATTGTCATATTTCTAAATCAGTATTGTCTACATGTAGGAATTACCCATGCCAGCATAGGGGCTAGACAGGTGCATGACTATTTTTACGCGGGGTTTCCATGTATATGGAAGCCACTGCCCACCTCACAATAACAATAATTAAACTCATAGTCCATTGCAGGATTACCTCCCCCGCTGCCAACCAATACCCATATTTACACCTGGAAAGGTGAGGCGCTTTGAGCTTAAAGTATCTTGCCCAAAAACACAATGCAATGCTTTAACACGAGACTAATGTCGAGTCCTGTGCACCTACCATTCAGCCACCATGCCTCCTCGTCTGATCCTTATGATTAGAGTGGGGTGAGTGGGGTCAATTGGGAAGGGTGGAACCCTTATAACGTTGCGTAACCAATTGCAACTTAAGGCAACATAATGCGACTTAAGGCGACTTTAGGTGACTTAAGGCAACTTAAGGTCCCAGAGTAGGCCTCATCTTCTGCTTGCTTTCGTTAGAATTACGAGACTTGGAAGTGAATTGGAGAAGAAGGAAAGGCAGATAATGGAAACAGCGAGGAGAGAGAATGAAAAGTGAGTGCTTTTTAGAGTTCAAAACTTTAAAACTTTCTTTAAAGTTAGGGTGGCTCTGAAGCCCCCTTCAGATTAGGCAAGCTTATGATCTAGGGTTCTTACTGGTGAAAAAGGTTGTTTTTGACGGGATGAAAGGAAACTATTGGTTATGTCTCTTTTATTTTTTCCCAGTCACGACCTTTAGCCGATAAATAACTTATTAGTTCTCTCTCCCTCAAATAACTATGGTTTTTTACGCAAAAATTGATTTCGAAATTAGTTTTGTGGTACCAAATGTGTCAAGAGAATAAAAAGTATTTATGTTCTCTTGGTTTATTAAATAGATTAATACGTGGCCTACGAAACCGTTTGTAATTCAATAATCCTCCTCAAAAAGGAAAGTTAGAACGAGAGGTATTCGCAGTCAAAAATTACATTAATCAACGTAACTTTCATTCTTTTCGTATCTAAATCCTCCAAAATATCTGTTCACTGTAAGACTTTTGATTTAGCAAGTCACACGAATTTGGAGAATTCTACCGTATATTTTACATAACTCGATGACTAAAAGTCGCATTAAATTCTCTTTTGTCTAGCTAGAAAACAAAGGTCTCATTTGACTTCAGTTTTTCGGTGGAGGATGGGCAAGATTTACACACGCCACTGCTGCAAGTAGACTTTCACAACTTCAAAATATACCGCCATTTAAATTTAAGTACAATTTGACTTTCCTTGACATTAAAACTGAACAGAGGCAATTCTTCGTTGATTAATCGTCGTTGGAAGAGAATAATACTTTCCGTAAGATCAGTCAAGAAAAATTCATCGTGACAGTTTACTTGCCAAACCAGTGCTGTTGATTTTTCTAACTTGTGCGCGGGCTTTTTATTTTACGCGCTTTCTAATTTACAGGCGTCAGATCGTGAAAGATACTAAGGTTACCCTACCCTACAGGGTTCCCTAGGGTAACCTTTGCTGAGCGCTAGGGTTACCCTAACGCCAGGGTAACCCTAGCTGCATTGTAAACGCTCTGCTGGGGATAACTCGCCTACCCGGGACAACTTTTTACTTGTTTCCAGACCCTTTGAACATTGATAACAATGCGTTCGGTTACCAAGCATAGGTAAGTTGTCCTGGGTGGAAGGGTAACCTTACCTGTGAAATTTTGCTTGTAAACCCGGGCTATTTTTGACCCGCCTGCTAGGGAAACCCTAGCACAAGGGTTACCCTCCTTGCTTGTAAACAGGGCCTTAGAAAAAAACGTTTGAAAGTTTGTTTGGAAGCCATAAAAGTGTTTTACCTCCGTTTTCTCCATTTATTCGCTCAAAAATTGTTCTTCATCAAACTCAATTACGAACATGTACACTTCTGCAACGACATAATACAATCTTTACCGCAGTCTTATGAAAGTATTTTTATAAAATACATGCTTATGCAGTAAAATTTAGTGGTATCAATAATAAGATTTCAAATTCTTTATTCCTAGAGTTGAAAGCCTGAAAAATGAACATCAGAAGAAGGTTGATGAATTGTCACATGAAATACAGAAAACGAGAGAAGAGTAAGTTTCAATCGTGAGATTTTGCACAGGAAGAAAAAAAAACTTGGGTTTTATGGTTCAGCTCTAACTATATTTATGCATTCGAATGTTTTCACATAATGATGTTAAAACTGAGAAACTGATATGAAAAAAAAAGAATGCTTGGGTTTTGTAACTCAGTTCTAGCGATTTTTTCTAAAGGCTGATATCAAACTAAGAAACTGATATTGAAAGAAAAAATACTTGGGTCGTATAATTCAGTTCTTCAAATGCTTTCACTTACTGTTATTGACATCACTTAACTTGTAAATCCAGAGTTGAGCAGGTTCTTGTTGTTCCGCAATAAATTCGTCTGTTGAGTAAGTTGCAGTCGAGTACCACTGAATTCCGACCCATCAGAGTAATGAGTGTATCTTACGTCACGTTTCTCGCGTGTTAAGAGGTGTTTTAGTTATTCATTAAATTACTTCAAAAGGTTGTCGAAGGAAAGGGATCGTAACCAGGAAATGTTTGAGGAATACAGCAGGATTATTAAAAACCATAAATCCAGGTTTGAATATCAGAGATAATTATTAGAACATGACCATTTGTTCTTGTCACTGATTATTGTTTAGCATGCGCAAGTCTGTATTCAGCTAACTCAGTGTAGCATATTTTTTGATAGTTTCGGAAGAAATATGTTCACGGGTTGCAAAGCAATCTCACCAGTGTGTAAATTACGCGTTTTTAATTTATTCTGATTTTAGGGGACATACAGTCCAATTTTTAAAAGGTACACCACATGCAACTAAATCGAGACGATGGTGCGTTCATTTTAGCTTCTGTCTACGTGCGAGGGCTACCATTTCCTCCGAAACACTTTACAAAAAAAAAAAAAAGAAAAAACATACGATATCAAGGGTGAGATGCTTTTCTGTTAAATTTCTTAATATAGAATTGATGTTCTTCGAAAGGAACTTGAAGAAAAGGAGGAGAAAGTCACCCAGTATACTCAGAGGTGAGTTAATTTAACTTTCCTGGTTTGGAGATGTTGGGACCACCACGACTCGTAATAATAAAACGTTTCAGTAGTTGCGGAAAAGAAGCCTAAGAAAAAAATTATTGGTTATTGTGTTTCATAGAACAACAGAACACAATTTCTCGGTTTTTTTTTTGTAAGAAAATGAGAAAACTCATAAATGGCGGTCCAGAAGGCCCATTTTGAGCGTAACGTTTGAGGACGCGTACGCTCGTACTGCGAGTGATCGTTAGATGGTGGTAGTTTAGCAAAATTTTTGTCTAGATCCTAAGGGGACAAATAGACTTCTTTAAACACTCAGAAGATAAAAAGATGAATGATTCAAAATTTTGATCAACTGATCTTAATTTTTCTTATTCGGTTCTCTTAGCTATAGAGTGGGTACGTAATCAGCACACTCAGACAATACCTTATTGATTCTTTTCCTTCAAGGCTGGCTTCCCTCAGTGAAAAGCGAGTTAAGCAAGATCAAAGATTAGTAGAAGATACCACCTCCTCTAACAGACCGTCTCAACTTAGAACAGATTTCATAGCATTTTTCGACAATGAAAGATTTGATGCGTGTGAGAATATGCAATCGATTTATCAGAACAAGGAAGATTGTTTCGTCTACTGCTACTATCCCAGACTAGCCTGTATGATATTTGAGGTAAGGTAACAAGACTTAAAATCAGAAAACATGAGGGGAAAGTAAGGGAGGTTCTCAATTCAGGCCTTGGTACGTGTAAGGCTTACTGATAAATTTCCCAGAAAAAACGATGTTAAAAGGGGTATATTTCTTAACCTCGACTCGATGTATTCAAACCAGTCGTGTCATTCTTGAGGAAGGGTATTATCTCGCTTTTTTTTTATTGGCTTTTCTTCATGTAGTAGTTAACTGTTAGAATTAAGAATTTTGAACATTTCTAAAGGGATAACAACTTCCCTACAAAAACAATGGTGGAGTAAGCAGCTGAGTTAGCAGCCATGACCATCTCTTGTAGCCTTGGGTTTTAGAACATGAATACATTTGGGCCAGTATAATCTTTTCGACCATCGTTATCGGCCTTGGGCTCCTGGCTCCTGACTATACCTGTATCAAATTGAATTGAGATCGTTTTAGTTGCATGCAGCGGCTCAGCAAAATTTAATAATTAATTCAAGGAACTTAACAAGAGCCATTGAGTTTTGACGGGTTGAGCGACGCTTACGGGATACCTTATAAAACGGAAATTTTCATGTTTTTCAACATGTGGATGTGTTTGACTACTTACATAGACTGCTTACGAGGTAGCGAGAGCAATAAAGGAGGCTGCGTCTGACTTGTCTATGGAGTTATTGAAGCGAGTGATTCATGAAGCACCAAGAATGGGTGAAAAATATTTAACTACCAGAGAGGTAAGATGATTTATATAGAATTTCCTAAGTTCTAATTAATTTCCACTGCCCATCCTCACTACATACTCCTATTTATTAACATGAGAACGCCACGTCATGCTTTTAAAGTACGCCTCAAGTTAGAAAAGCCACACATTTTGTAAAGCTGTAGGTTGCAGTGTTATTTGAACTTTTCCAGTTTATGCTTTCTACGCTGCTACTAATGTGAGTAACACCAACGCTTCGTCCAGTGATGAAATAATGAATGATGCGGGTTTTTTCCGTGTTTTGCTTTGTTGCAAGCCTTGCCGGAGTTTGTTACCCTAAACAGATTTTTTCAAACTTTTTTTCTGCTTACTTAACTAGTGTTTACCTGGTACTATAAAATTGCCTTGAGTAATAAAAGGAAGTTATGAAATAGAGAATGATTCATGGACGCGTGTAGATATTTAATTTCTCTTAGAGTTTTCGAATCGATAACTCCTGAGTGAGCACAGCCAAACGGTGAGATATCGAGTCGAACACTAGAAGAGAAATTCCAATTATAATATACATACTGAAATGTACTCAGTTTTCTTTAGAGGAAAGGCCGCTTAAAGCGATCTCTCAGAAAAAAAGCTATGGAACAATTTTTTTTAAACTTTCCTTCAATGTTCCCTACCAATTCCTGTTTCGAAAAATAGGTAGGTCACTGTGCTTGTATAAGAGATATGATGGGTCAATCTTACTCCTTTTATGCCTGTACTGGCACTAATCACGCGCGTCCTTTCATCAATTCATGGTAAATTTTGCGGTAGCTGGAAGCAAGAGTTTTTAAAGTAACACTTGAAAAGAACTTGATAGTTAGAAAGTCTCGAGCTTATGGAACAATTTGATATATAATTTGTGAAACGTAATTTTAAACGACATGGACTCGAAACGTTCCTCGAATCGTTGCTTTCAAGGTCATAATTTGCATCATCGAGTGTACACTTCGTGTACACTTTAAATATATCTTTTCCCCCTTCGATTTGTTTTCTTTTTAATATCTCTAATATAAAGGGAATATTTCGTAAAAATAGATTGTCTTATTCATCGTGGTAAAATACGATATTAATCAAGTATTATCGTTTGTCTCACGATATGGTCACTCATGATGTATGTCACTCATGATGTATGTCACTCATGATGTATGTCACTCATGATGAGTCACTCATGATGGTCACTCATGATGAGTCGTGGCGTTTCGACTGCATCCTGCTAGTCTTCTTTAGGCGACATGGTCGACTGGTTTCGGGTATTACTATAAAGCAGGATGCTCAGCTGTGATTGGTTGGTATTTCACAGTTGTGATTGGCACGTTTCGATCCTAGATGTTGGCGAGTTGTTCTCTCAGCAGTCCGCTGTCGTACGGCTCTCCTGTTGTTGGGTTTTTTGATCGTGGGCATCTACGCTTCAGAAAATTCTATTCCACTGTCCCTTTTGATGTTGTTGGGGTGAAATCTTATGTGAGTAGCCTCTTTGACCCTGCGAGTGTACCAGTGAGGATCACGATCAATAAACTTAACCTCACTTCAAGCGATTGGTGTCTTGTGTTAATGGCGTGCTCTGAAACGGCGGAGGTCTGGGTACAGGCTAGTCGGATATCTCGGTCGTACTCCTTTATTCTGTCTTGAATTGGTCTTCCAGTCTCATCGATGTAAACTTTGCCGCATTCTCAGGGAATCCTGTAAACTACGCCGTCTTGTTTGGCGAGATCAAAAGCTTATTTTGCTCTTACTAGTTCTGATCTTTGTGTTGTGTTAAAGGGGATAATTTGTATACCAAAATTATACAATAAAAAATATAGATCACCGTGATCGTTCAAGTTCTTAAAATCATCTACCTTTTTATCCGGTCCATTGATTGAAAAGCAATACCGTGTTCTAGGAATATGCGCGTGCTTATTCGCCTAATTACGTGATGTCATAACAGTTAAGAATGTATAGCGCAATATACTTACGTACCCCCTATGCGCACGCACTTATTCGCCTAATTACGTGATGTCATAACAGTTAAGAATGTATAGCGCAATATACTTACGTACCCCCTATGCGCACGCACTTATTCGCCTAATTACGTGACTTTTGTGTGCAGTAAAGGATGCGCAATGCAGTACTGAGGAACCACCTTAAAAACTTCTGACAGTTAATCACAACAATGAAATGCTCTTCTCATACTTGCGTTAAGCGTTTCGTCCAATCAGGAGAGACTTGTAAAAACGTACCACTGATTTCATTCAACAAATTTAAGTTCCTTGCGTGCAGATCTCCATAGCGGAAAAACTTTCGTGCAAAAAGTACAAAAATACTTGTACTTTTAACAATGACTCAAGGATCCACTAGATTTGAGAGTTTAGAAAAGTCAATTGACGACTACATAACCGAGCAACAAAACAAAGATACATGAACTAAGACGACAGATGTGAGGCTGTGTTTTTTTTATTGTCTACTCTCTAAAAAACTGTGCGGCTTACGAAGGATCTTCCGGTAATAGTTATGGATAGTTAGGAAGAAGGAGTTCAAACTACAGATTAGGAGTAACATTTCATGAAGACCCATGTAATTGGGATACCCAATTTGAGCATATGCTTGGCAAGGCCAATTCTAGACTTTACATCTTGAAGGTCTGCAAGTACTTTGGCTACTCCTTCTTGGAGTTGACTGTGCTATTTGATAGCCTCATAATGTCATTATTTTTATATGCATTAGAAGTATGGGCCCGTGCCCACCAGGGTAAATACATTGGACAGATTGATAAGTTTTGTAGGCGCGCTTTGCGATATGGATTTACCTCCAAGTACACCCCATTGACCAGCTACATCGTTTCAAGAGATAGGCAGTTATGGAACAGCATCATAACCGATGCAGCTCATCATCTTTATGACCTTCTTCCTACACAAAGATCACTTTTTTTAAGGAGCAGGGGCCGTGATTTTATCTTGCCACGTGTGAGAACCGAGAGGTTCAAGCGATGCTTTATTAATAGATGCCTATTTAATTTTGTCTAAGTCTATTTTAACTGTATAGTAGTATCGAATAGTAACATAGAATATTATTCTCATTGTAAACTCACACGTTTACCTGTGGGGATGTATTTAATAACGAATGAATGAATAAAGATCTTTATTATTATTATTATTATTATTATTATTATTATGTTATTTAGCTCGTAATTATAGCCCTAAATCATTTGGGATTTTTGGCAAGCATATGTTTAAATGTTAGAAAAAATAAAAATTTTATTCACCAGCCTAGGTCGGTCCATATTAGGAAAATATTTGCCCTCTGTCTTCTTGACTACCGTAGTTAGGACCTCGGGCACAGTTAACCAGTATGGACATACAGGCTGGTGTATAACATATAATTTTCATATAAAATGGGGTACTATACAAGGAAGAAAGATAACAAACCCCATTCAAAGAAATTTGGGCTTACGTTTGGCAATTGAAGGGTTTCTGAAAATATTAGCTCACATAATTTTTCAAAATAACAAAGCGCTTTCTACTCTGAATCGGAGTCGAATACTTTTGGTCTTTTGTACCTCTTTGTGGACTTTATCTAGGTTTCCGGAGTAGCCAAGGTCGGTGATTGTCTAAGGCTGCAGACAGAGATGTTAAATTGACCACCAGGAATAATAGTACCTGTAAAGAGCGACATTGCTCGCTGGTCATGTTGATAATCTGCGCCGAACCGGCTGAATGACCTGTGGTCGAAGAACAAGAACCTTGAGATAAATTTTATTTTGCAATATCATGCACTCTCCCTGTTCACTTAAAGTATGAGACATTTGTACTTGCTGTTTTTCAGGAACAACTGAATAATTTGTCACACTTTGAAGGTTTTTGTGTTCCGATCTGATCTGTTGAATTATGTGCGTCACCGAGATATCTTTGTTTGTCAAAGCCTGAATCGTGGGTTTGCGACCCATGTCCAAGTCCGGCTTTTTCTGCCATTTTCCTAATTAATGAGTTAAGTTTGTTCTGGCCAAAGGCCGACTTTCTGAACCAAGGTTTGGAAGATTCTTGTTTTCTGCAGTTGTTTACAGCGAGATAAATTGGAGCGTCGCTGTCGTTCATCTCTGTTGGTCGTTTCTTTCCGTATAATTTGTAGGCAGCATCGAGATCTTTGTCACCTCCAGGAACCGAAAAAATTTTCGGTTTTATCTGTCTAACGCCTCGGGGATTTTTTTTGCCAGTTCAAGTCTTAGTTTGTCTCTCCGAATACTCGAAAAATTCCTCTCCATTTTTAGCTTGGCGTAGTTGCACGTCACCCCAACATGTACGTACACATGTCTTGGTGCTCCTTACAACCGCAAAGACCGAAGTGGATCGTGTTGTCGAAGCGAATTGTATTCAGCAGAGCCTCAGGAGTCGACTTTCCAAACAATTCTTTGCACACAATAGTTTTATTTCCTCTTCTCTGAGAGCAACTGAAGCGTTGGGTGTATTTCCTTTTCCTTTCTGTTTGAGATCCTTTTGTTTTGATCGTAAAGCTTTGCGTGCCTGTTCAAACTCAGCGTCTTTCATAACGCTAAATCCGTAAGTCTTCTTCTTCAAATACCGTTCAAAACTGGCCATCAAAGAACGTTAAGAGCTGGGTTCATAGTCTTCGTTGCTGTCTTTCTTTCGAATCGTAATGATAAATTCACCGATGTATGCATTTAGCTCCTTCGGGGAATTTCTTCTATAAGTCTTGACTCGTTCCTCAGGGTCATACGATATTTTTCACTGGTGAAAAAAATCGCATGGCCAGTTGGATTTCTTCTCATCAAAGAGAGACGATTTTTACTCGGTGCGTTTACACTGATTGAATCTCAGTACTTACATGATATATAAAAGTACTTATTTCTATTTTGCAATGAAATAATCATTGTGTAGCCATGCAAAGCAAAGAGATATTGGGATGAAACGTTATAAACTCACAAAATGGAAGATATATAGAAACGTTTTGAGGGAAATGCGTTCCTAGTGAGGGTAAATGCGATCAGCTGCAGGGAACGTTGATGTTCTATTGATTGTCATGTTACCCGAGTTGTCGTAAATGACTCATAAATTTGATTTTCAACGGCACATAAGTGAATTTGTCATGTATCTTATTTGAGAATAGATTATGGTCTTTGTTTTCAGGTGTGGATAGAGGAACAAAGTTCACCCGTTTGCACTGTACCGATTACTATAAACGTGTGGGGTGACAAATCATCGGACCCCAAGGATCTTGCGGACGGCATCCAGTTGAACTTCAAAGAAACTGCCGACACCTGCTCTCTTCAATTTCTCGAGGAGGTAACGCCTACCAATTGGCGCGGAAGGCTTTTTCCCCCAAAACATCCAGAAGTACACGTATTAGATATGTGGAAATTACTTGACCTTCTTTTTAAACTGAGCAAACTTAACCGAGCCTTTGATAAACATAAGCTGTGATGACAAGAATGGTTGGTAGCGATAACTGTAACGATATTGGTAACGATCATGATATTGCTAGAAGATTTTCTAACACTCTTGAACAGTTGATATTCTTTATTCCTTTCTTTGACCTCTTTACACGACTCACTACTTTAAGGTCTAGCTCAGCTCTGAGAGAGAATGTTGGTCCCCAGCTTATAAAGGTGACACAAAGCTGTCCATCTTTATGCATTGTTATTGTTTCTATCTCAGCCAACGTTAATCACGTTAAGTTACGTGTGTACCTTCTAGTTGTTTACGCTTTACAAAATAATTTTCTACCATTAATTTCTTACATTTCCAGTTTAGTTGTGGTAAAACGAAAACAAGATTGGCGTTGCGCAGATTTAGAATTGCACTAAAAAAACCCAGCCCTTAAAGTTTGTTACATAGCAACAGAATAAACAAAGAATTCGAGGAAGAACGGGCGTACCCTAAGTACCGCCCTCAAACGAACTACGTATTGCTCACACGAGTCAACTGATTATAAATTCAGTGCAGAAGATGAAAAGTACAAGTTGTTTACACTTTTTGCCAGCTTTAAAGAAAGAGGTGCTGAACGTGCTAAATTCCTCGTCGCCCGCCTGAACACAGGCGGGCGACGAGGAAAGGTGATGTCAGCAATCACATTGCTGAACACCATCGACTTACCAACCACAACATTGACTGGGACTCTGCGCAATGCCTAACCTACAGCACTGACTATTTTCAACGACTGACTCTGGAAAGCTGGTTTACTAACTTAGAACAGACTCCCCTAAACAG